CGGTCAACTCCCCTTCTTCACAGTCTTGCACGACCGTGAACTCCTTCAGTTAGTCGTGAAATGGCTCTTTTTCACCTCTTCTCCCGGTTTTTGATCCTTTTCGCCAATCTTTCGTCTCCGAGGCTGGTTTCACCTGTTAAATCCTTAAACACACTCAAACACGAAGAACCTAGCGTAAAACCAACCTTTAAGGAGCGAATTTGGCAGAAACATCTAAGTAAAAAGGGGGCAAAACATGTGTAATGAGGCCCGAATCATACGTCTCCTAACGTTGCCCTAAAAAGCTTCATCGATGTTGTTGTCCGTAATATTGTTTATGTTCTAGCTTGGTGATTCATGGGTCGTTTGGGCATATTCTGCTAGCAGTTGGATACCACCATTATGGAGTGTTAGATCTCTATGTAGCAGCGGTACTTGCTGGTAGAGATTCCCTTTATGGCGGCTTCAATAGGGTGCTGTTTTGGGAGGGTTCCTACGACTTGGGTGTACTTTTCATTTATAAATTTCTCTTGTACACAAAAAAAAATCATTGTATACATGATAATAGAAATATATAAATAATCATTTATCATATTTTCTCACCATTTACCACTAGTTACCATCGTATATCAGGATGGTATATTTGGTCCTAAGTTTTTTTATTTTATTTTAGAAACTTATAGATCGTAATATATCACAATGAATATGTTCCTTATGTGAAAAATATTTCAAAATTTGAGTGGAAATAAAGGTGGTATAGAGTGGTTCCAGTAGTCAAATAATAACGATCGATTACCAGTAGTCAAATTTAGCTAATTAGTAACTAACGGTTAACCGACTAACCTATTACAACCATCATCACAGTTAGAGACGAAAATAAAAATAATGGGATGTTTGAAGGCATACAAAATTCCTTGCATACCCTAGTTGTAATAATGGTTAAGGTTCAAATGAGAATAATTTTAAGGAAGGGAACGACTCTACACTTCCATATAATTTGTGGGATTTATGAGTTGAGTAATTATTATTGGGTCTCTTTCTTATTTGCTCCATTAATAATATATATTTGACCGTAGAATGCTGTTATTGTGTACTCATCTTGGATTGCCATATATATATATATGTTAAATTATTTTTATCTTAAAAAAGGACAAGTAAATATATAGGAAATTTTTTACAAAAATGCATAATTGAAAGAGAGGAGGAAGTTTTATGTTGGTTAGGTTATCAATAAGTTATTTTGGTCTAACATTATCGAATTATTTGGTCAATGGTTATCTAGTTGGTCGACAAAATAATCAATCAAAGCCTATACAATTACAGTTAATCAATTACTATAAATGATGCGGTTAACAATAAAGTGATAAACATAAATTGCTTAATGGTTAATTGATAATCGAGGTTTGAGTGATAACCGAATTGACTTACCGCTGGTATTTTGCCTAGGGGTGGGCATGTGGGTGGGTAATCCGCGGATTGATATCGATCCACCCGCAAATAACCCGACCGGCAAGCTATGGGTGATTGATGAGGGTGGATTGTGGATTGATAAATCTCCCACCCGCACTTATGTGGGTGGGTGGTGGGTGGATTGTGGGTCACCCGAATGACCCGTTTCCTATTTTCACATGAAAAATATTGTTTCTTATTGTATCGAATATTCATCATATTTCCAAATCGCACTACGGTCTGACCATATACTTTTTAATGTGGAGAATAAATAATACTTTTGACTACTGTTATTGGTTATTGTGCTGTGTAATATCCATTTATTGGATATTGGAACGCAAATTATTGCTAATATCTATTATATATTGGGATGAAAACTATAAATTATTAATTGTATAAAAAATCACAACATGCGTAAGTTTTCTCTACACAATTGGTGGATAGAGTAGTAAATGTTTTAATGCAAATACTAAATGGATTCACTAGAGAGAAAGTGATAAGTGTGTAAATTGATACAATCTTACTACTTTGCTATGAACTTATTATAAATGTTACTCAACTTTCTTAATAGCTAGTTGGAGAATTGTATTTGCAGGTTAACCCACGACCCAACCACACCCATCCGCGAGCCATCCAACTCGACCCGCATAAAAATGTGAGTAAATTGCGCGTAACAATTATTCCAACTCACTAATAAACGAATGGGTCAATTTAAAACGAAAATCCACCAACCCGCCCATTACCCAAATTGCCGTTGAAGCGGCGAACCACAATTTTTGCCCTGAAATCCTATTTAACGCCCTAAATTTTTGAATTTTGTCGCCCTAAATTAATAAACGGACGATTCTACCCCAAGCCCTGAATGATACGTCCCCCGATTCCCAAAACGTACGCCCTAATCCCTAAATCAGGTTCCCCACAGCCGCCGTCGCCCTGGATCTGAAATGGAAATCGCCGCCCAATTCCCCGTCGCCGTCGTTGCGCCATTGGCTCTGAAAGTCCGTCGCCCAATTCCCCCTTCGCCGCCGTTCGCTCTGGAAGTCCGAGTTCAATCGTCTCTGCTGCTGCCGAGCGAAGGTGAGGAGGAGCGATGGTGAGGAGGAAGAAGGAAGGGCCCCCATCGCGGCTGCTCAATTACTCAATCTGCCCCGTCGACTGATGACTCGGTATTTGCACATGTTTTTCCTTTTGTTTCTTGATTGTTTGAGCTTGAATTATCGTGTCTTTGTCCTATTTTACGCTAGGTTGTGTTCCTTTGTCACATTTCAGGTCCTAGCACATAAAGTGAAGCATAGGCGCAGGTTTCAAGTCAATCAGAGATCAATTGACGATTCGGGAGAAGAAACTCGGGTATGACCTGAAGAAGAATGGATTTCTACCTCAATTTATGGACAAAGAATCATGCAAGCTTGTCATGAAAAGAAAGAGGACGAGACTACGAGCGTCTGGGATCAAACGGCGACTGATTCGGAGTCCGAACGAGGGAGAAACGAAGCATTAAACAGAGGCTGAGCAAGCCACACGGGCACAACCCACACGGCCGTGTGACCTGGCCATGTGGCCGTGTGGAAATCACCGAGCCTTCACACGGGCAGCTGGGAAAGCCACACGGCCGTGTAGCCTGGCCGTGTGAGTCGGGAATTGCTGGTTAATACCCGATTTTCAGCAAAAGAAAAGGGGGAGAGCTGGATTTTGGATCCCAAACACCCAAGGGACGAACCCTAGAGAGAGAGAGCGACTTGGGAACATTCTTGGAGCTATTTTGGAGGATTTCTTCGCCATTGGAGCTCGGGAATCAAGCTTGGAGATGGAGATTGAAGATCTAGATCAGATTTCTGCAGTCTCTCTCTTCTCTATGGAGTAACTTCCCTTCACTTAGGTTTTGAGGAACCCTAGTTCCATGAGTTAGGATCTTTCTTGTATGAAGTTTTGGATGCTATATTGTTTGATTATAATCGATTGAGGCATGATTTATTGAGTCAATTGAATCTTGATCAAATTCTCTTGATTTCTGCTTTAACCTATGATAGATAGAATCTGATTAGGTTAAGAGAGCTTCCTTGATTGATAGTAGTGAATTGGTTGTGCGAGAGTCAATCAATTCACTGCTTTGTACTGGAATTCATTCCAATAGTGGAGATCTGTGTGAATCGCCTTAGCAGTCTATCCCGATGAAGGCTAGTCGCCTGCCGGGTATTCTGTCTGAGAGGGCTTGGTCAGCTTAAGAGATTCCAAGCTAATTTAGGATCTTCCGCAGTTTAATCCACAGTAGATCAACCAAAGGTACTTGCAACTTGGACCTAATTGAGGAGCTAGGGGGAATCATACCTAAGTGAGTTCCCAACTTGTAATTAGTAGAGTAGCCAGTAGAGTAGTTTATCAATCAATCCTTAATCTAGTTTGATAGATCATGAACTGAAGCTGAGTAATAGTAACTCTAGAGACCCGTCGATTCGATATTTATTACTTGTGCCACTATAATGCAGTCCCTTTCATTGGTTACACTTGGCCATTGTTAGGTGTTGTGTTTTAGCGTGTCATCGACGCCCCTCTGCTACTCCTGGGTTCGTCGCGGTCGAGATAGATCCACAAAGATTGATCGGCGCCGTTGAGGAGGAAGGATGGGTTACCGGCCTGTACGGACTCCTCTTAGCGAAGGTAGGTTGTTGGTCGGGTAACTGGTCGAACGGCGGCAACGGAGGAAGAAACTGAGGGCAAACGGCGGCGACGGGGTCGGGATGTCTCGGCTGACAGTTGAGTACTGAGTAGAGCGGAATTAGGTTAGGGCGGCGGTTTTGGAAATTTGGTTAGGGGTAAAAACGTCAACTTGTCAAAATTAGGGCGATTAATTTAAAAAATTAGGGCGTAAATTAGTACCTCTTTTTGCCCGGTTTTGGTTGCACGGGGAGTAAATTAGAAAAACGAACATTCCCAACGTTAACGAAGAACAAAACCAAAACCTAATTCCCTACGGCGCTTCTCTCCCCAGTCCCCTCCCTCAACCCTTGCCTTTCTCCGAGCAGTAGCCGCCATAGCAGGAAAAGTGGTGAAGCAGCGCTGAAACTTCCTCCTCCGACCTCCCGTAATCTGTCGTCATTCTCCCGTTCCCTCCAGCGGCAGCCGCGTGCATAGAAACCACCTCTTCGGCCTCTCTCTGCTGCGAGAAGGAGGAGCAGAAGCTGCCTCCCGCTGACGGTCGCCCTTCCACCAGTTTCTCTGTCCTGATTTTCTTCCTTCCCGTCAGGTACTGACTGCTGATTCTGTTAGACTTGTTTGGTTTGAGATTACTGGGGATTGAAGTGGTGGCGGGATTGTTAATGGTGGGTTTAGGGTTTTTCAAACTAGTGGGAATGGAAAATTTTGCAGTTGATTACTGTGTACCTTCGAACAATTCTGCCAAATTTATAAGTTTGTTTCAGTTAACATTCAACCAGGTTAAGTGTGGAAATAACGCACTTTGTAGTTGGGGTTTTTTCATATGCTCGCGGAAATCTATGGTTGTAGTTTTACTTTCTGTTTCTGATGTGTTTGGTTTGCAGAACCTATTACTGTTTTCTTATTCTGCGCCAAGGATGAGCTTGATTTCTCAGAATGCGGGTTCTAGGAACCGAGCTAAGACCGCTAGAGAGACGGCAGACGAGCCTGCCTTTATGGGAGGTGGTGGTGGTGGTGAAGATGGTGATCTCAAAATGAAAAAATCTGAGTTGGGGTTGTCTGCTGCAAAGAGAAGAAGGAAAGAAAAGGACGAGCAAACAGCAGTTGAGGATGTGAAGGAAATGAAGAAGCTCGAGAATTTCCTGTTTGGATCATTATATTCCCCTGTGGAATTTGGAAAAGATGAAGAAGAGCAAGTTGCCGCGGACAACGAGGGTTTACCTTTGTTCTTTGTTGACCGTTCAGCAAACAATGGGATGCAAGCTCAGTTCTCAGACGAGAGTGAAGACGAAGGAGAAGAAGCCGATGAACGGAAGCCTGTGTGGGTCGATGAGGAGGAGGAAGCCACGAGCATCAACATTGCTAAAGTTAGCCGATTGAGGAAGCTGAGGAAAGAGGAGGAAGAGAGCCTGATTTCTGGTTCGGAATATGTCTCAAGGCTGAGAACTCAACATTCTAAGATGAACCCAGGCACTGAATGGGCACGGCTCGAGAGAGCTGATAGCAGACTTCATAGCGATGAATCTTCAGATGAAGAGGACATTCTTAGGACAAACGAAGATCTCGTGGTGAAGAGCACATCAAAACTGCAGCCCGGCATTCTTAGCTGCTCTAGACTTGTGGATGCCAATGCTCAAGAGCCTTCTAATGGTCCAATAAACTCGGTTGAGTTCCATCGCAACGGTCAGCTGCTGCTCTCAGCTGGACTGGACAAGAGGATTCGGTTCTTCCAGATCGATGGCAAACGTAACACCAAGATACAAAGTGTATTTGTCGATGACTGTCCAATCCGGAAGGCGTCCTTTTTACCGGATGGTTCACAGGTCATTATATCAGGGAGAAGGAAGTTCTTCTACAGCTTTGATTTAGTGAAAGCAAAAGTCGATAAGATAGGTCCACTTGTTGGCAGGGAAGAGAAAAGCCTGGAGAATTTCGAGGTTTCTCCCGATTCAAAGACGATTGCTTTTGTGGGCAACGAGGGTTACATATTGTTGGTCTCTTCAAAAAGTAAGGAGCTCATTGGTACTGTTAAGATGAACGGCACAGCTCGCTCCATAGCTTTTGCTGGTGACGGCCAGCAGCTGATTACCCATGGTGGTGATGGTCAGGTGTATCACTGGGATTTGAGGACAAGGACTTGCATACACAAGGCAGTTGATGAAGGTTGCATTAATGGCACTGCGCTAAGTTGTTCACCACTGGGGAACTTTTTTGCAGCAGGTTCAGACAGCGGGATTGTGAATGTTTACAACAGGGAGGAGTTTTTGGGCGGGAAGAGGAGGCCGGTGAAGACCATTGAGAATTTGACAACGAAAGTGGATTTTATGAAGTTCAACAGTGATGCCCAGATACTAGCGATATGTTCGACGATGGGGAAGAATGGGATGAAGTTGATACATGTTCCATCGTTCACCGCATTCTCTAACTGGCCACCACTAAACACGACGCTGCACTACCCTCGGTGTTTGGATTTCAGTCCCGGTGGAGGTTTCATGGCCGTGGGAAATGCTTCTGGTAAAGTATTGCTGTACAAGTTGCATCACTACCATCACGCATGAGTTAGTAGTAGATGGTCGTTGTTTTGTAGTTCTTCAGTTGTATTCCCACCTTCCCTTTTTGGACTTTGTTTGAAGTTTCCGTTTTTCAGTTTGCAAACCCAAATTTTGGCTAGTGTTGATTGCCTAATGATTTGCCTTGGAGTCGAAGCCATTTATTTATTTTTGCAGAGTACTTTCAACATTTGCAGCAAAATAGGGTTCCGATTATACCTTACCATGTCCAAAGCAAAGAGCTTGTGACCATACTTCTGTACAGAAACTGAGAGCTGCTGTTTCGAAGCAGTCGTGCTACTATGCTGGGCTTAACCCCCAAGTCTAAATTGCAGATGGGAGTTATAGGCGGGTTTGGGTTGGGTTCAATTAGGTCATCGGGTTGTAGGTTAGTTGATTGCGGGTTCTGTCGGGTTCATCATTTGGGTTTGTGTTCATCGAGTTACGGGTTAGTCAGGTTCTGGTTGAATTGGGTTATGAGCAAGTTGGATTTGGTTGAATATGGTTGCAACTTAACTAGGGTTACGAGTTCATTGGTGATGTCTGAACAAGCCACAAGAGGTTCAACCAACCATCAATGATATGATTTATGAGAGTAGACAACAAATTATTGCAAATACTTTTAATTTATCAACACATAAAAACTAGTAATGTTTGAACAACTTGAACTACAACCATTTTAGGCATAAGGAAAATTCTCTAACCTCGTGGGTGCTTCGATGAGAAGGAAACTTCTACTAGGTTTTCCTATTTCCCTCTAGGTTTGTGATAAGGTTCGTGTAGCAACGACAATTCAACCCGCACCTATGAGTATTGAATTCGACCCAACCTAGTCAAAGTAGATAAAATTCAGTGTTGATGCACTTTGGGTTGGGTGCGAATTTTACCAACTTTTGAAATTGGCGGGTTGGATCGGGTTTGGATTTTGTCAAAATCCACCCCGCTTTTCATCCCACCCACCGCGTAAAAGCAAACGAGGTAGGTTTGTATCCGATAGCAATATGGATAATTTATGGATGTTATTAGTGTTTATGAAGATATATTTGCAAGAAATTTTTGATAGTATTACGATGTGGGTGTTCAAAGAAATAAATTACGGTTAGGTCTGTAAACCCATGGGTAGCCAACTTAGTAACTTACCCATGAGCCATGCACTCTTGGGTATCCGTTGGGTTTCCTCTTCTAAAACCCAGTGAGTACTTTAGCAAGTTTTTTTTACGGGTGCACCCGCTTGGTTGGGTTTAGAGAATCCCGACCCAACCTGATCCATTGCCATTCCTAATTTGGATGTGGATCTCTTGGACTCAAGCACTATAGATTAATATAATCTAAGTTTTTCTAGTGGGGTAGACGTGATTGTTTGTGTTTTGAGAGATTTTGTGTTTAAAAAGAGCACCCATCTTGTGATTAGGTTTTCCGCTAATGATCCCGGAGTGAGCTTTTTGAGAGAAAGTTTCGAAGTATCGAGTCTGATACCAACCGTCTGTTTTGAAGAAGGGAAAGGGAGGAGGAAGGAAAAAAGTGGACGGAAAGTTGGAAAGCCGAGGACTTTCCCCCCATTTCCGAAGCGAGGAAAAGTATAGGGGAAGGGAAAATGATGGGGACTAACCACTCTGCAAACGTCCCCCAAATCGGAGAGAATTGAAGGAAAAGTCAATTTTGGTGGGTTGCTCCAATTTTTTTGTTTATTTTTTGTTAGAAGTTACATTGGTGAATGACGATAAACTAGGTAGGAAACTTATTTTTAATTTTTTTTATGAAATTTTAACTCCATGCTTATCTTTTATTATTCTCTTTCTTTTTAATGTCATACTTATAATTATTGATATATACAAAAGAAAAAAAAGAGCATGCGAGGAGCTCTCTCCTCTCTCTGCTCGCTAAGCGCCGCGATCAGTCGCTGGCTATGGGAGATGGGGATCGCCTTCTTCTCGATCAGTCTGCAAAATCAGGGCCTCTTCGACCACAGCGGGGGGTACCGGCGCGGCGTAAGTATACAACGACCACCGGTGGCAGATCTACAAAGCGAGAAGGCGCAGGAGCCACCGATTAAAGGTCTAAAAAGTGCCCGGCGGGCTTGTATGATCCGCCGAAGGGCCATCTCGAACCGGAAACGCAAACGATTGGAGACTCTAGATGAAGCTATGGAGTTCTCCGGTGTTGGTTCTTTCAAAAAAGTTAGAAAATCGGCTTTGAAGGGGTGGAGATTTTGGCTCCCCCCTTCGTCTGTGCTGGATGGGGAGGCTCTGTCTCCACGCTCGACTCCAAGAATGGATGAGCGGCACACACAAACAGATTTGGTGTCTTCAAATCGTTCTTGTGGGATTGATTGCGCAAAACCCTTCGGGGAGGATGGGCTAGCGAAACCATCTGGCGATCGTGATCTTCTTCTTCCCACTAGTGACGATGGGCCATCACCGTCGGAGCCGAACAATCCGAACTCAGGCAAGTGCTCCGGTGCAGTGGTCGGGTCGGATTCGTCGGCTACTGGCTCGGATGTATCCCGCGAGGCTTGCTCGGTGACAATCACGGCGGTTGGGATACAATTTGGGATGGGCAGAATCTCGGATTTCTCTCCCCGAAGAAATCGAGCATCTCACAAATAAAAAAAAACAGAAAAAGCAGAGGATATGGTGGGCTATAAAGGGATTCCCAATCCCTCTCGAACTCTAAAAGTCGGGATTCCCAATCCCTCTCGAACTCTAAAAGTGGACGGCACAAGGCAGATATGGTGGGCTATAAAGGGAGCTCGGCCTCCCTCCTTCTCACTCAACGCTTTCCCCCAGACTTGGTTTAGCTGGAACCCTGTTCTGCTGAGAGGTAAAGGCCGCCTAGAAGTGCTGCCGCTCCAACCCATGTCTGCCGGCCAGGAAAGTCCAGGTATGATGACCATAAAAGCGAAAATCATCTCCCTGCCCTGTTTCGTCCCTCTCGCCCCCTTCTCCAGTTGGTATTTCACGAGTGGACTTTGTTTCCACACCTGGGTTGCGTCCCAATTTTGGACCGCCGACCATTACCTTGGCTCCGAGCCATGTAACTAAATGTTCTTCATCTCTGATACAGGAAACTTTGATGGATCGTGCTGCTGATGATCAGGTTATGAAATTCAACCTAGAGGAAGTCCAATCAACTAAATTTCGTGCTTCACGTACTCTCTTGGGACGAATTTTTACGGGGACCCAGCTCACAAACACAGAGCTTAGGGACGAGATGAGTGATTCGTGGCAAATGAGAGGTCACCTTCGGGTTTCGCGTACCTAGCATGGATTGATTGATATCGTCTTGCCAAGTGAAGAATAAAAATATGGGTCTTAAAACAGACCCCGTGGGTGATCAAAGATAAACGGATCAACCTTCGCTCCTGGACACCTATGATTAGTAAGCAGATCTTTGACGATCTTGCTGTTGCTCCATTCCGCATCCAGCTCTGGGACGTGAAGGAGGATTGTTGTACCAAACAATTCGGGCAAAAACTTGTAGCTCCCACCATTGGCCAGGTCTTAGAATCTGATGTCTTCGCCTGCAAAGACACGAGAGTGAGCTTTGCGAAAGTTCGTGCTCTGGTGGATTTTTCAAAGCCTTTGAGGTCCCAACTTATGGCGGTCAATGAGGAAACCAGATACTTTTGGGTTCGATTGAAATATGAATTCCTTCCTACCTTCTGCTATCATTGTGGCCGACTGGGCCATGCTCGTCGTGAATGCTCATTTGACCCTCCAAAGGGGGAAGAAAAGTTCGGTCCCCACATGACTACAAGGAAGATTGGACGTAAAATTTATGAGGAAGTGGAGGCAAACCCAGGTTTTCGTGGGGCTAGAAATTATATCTGGATTAACAGGCAGGTTCGACAGCAAATGGAAGGAGCTGGAATGGAAAATAAAGGCCGCGGGCAAGGCTCACAGACGGGGGAGTCTACTCCTCGACACCGGGCTCCCGGCCATTACACCGAGCAGACCCACACCAGGCAGATGGGCCGATCCAGTTCCCCCAGGCCCATGATGAAGGCTAAGCCCAAGCTCGTTAGTCCGAAGGGCTTTCCGGTCCGAAAATCTCCTATTACCCGCATTGGGGGTGGATTGCGTAAGCTGCGGCTGTTAAGCCCGGGCCTGGGTCCTACTCGGCCCTTGGCGGATGGAAACGGAGACAGGCCGAGGCAGGCCCAGAGGTGGGGAGTCATACCGGACCAGCCCAGTGACCAGGTTTCACCGGCTGCACACCCTGAGGTGCAGACGGTGCTAGAGGAATCCAGGCGCCAGCGCCTAATCTTGAAAGAGGATTCGGATGATGATCTTGACCCGAACCATGCTACAGTTACTGACTTGGCCATGGGGGAGAAGCTACCGCAACAATCGAAGGCATGCACGCCGCGTAGTGAAAGAGTGGGCTGCGCGCTGAGAAGGAAGAAGTGGTTACTCAGGGGAACAACAGAGACATGCCTTCCTCTGGCAGGGCAGCTCAGAGGCAGCAGCTCAAGGTCAAATTGAGACTAGCTCATGCTGACGCAAAACCGTATAAAATGAAAGTTCATGGGAACGGTACTGCGGGCATGCAGGGAACCAGGCGCAATCCGGAAGACAGATCGCCCCAGGGCTCGACAGATGGGATGAAGAATGACACTGCTGGAAACCCCCAAGAGGAGCAAGTTTTTGCAAACTCAGATTCGAAGGAGGAGATGCCTCCGGGGTGCGGTACGCATCAGACTCCGATGCCCCCAGTGCCGGGTTAATAAAGTTGTGGCGGCGTTTGAGGCTGGCCTCTGTTTGGCCCAAGAGGGGAGCAGGGAAAATCCTTTTTTGAAATGACCCCCAATGACTATGCTCTAGGGGTGCGCCAGGATGGAGAGGAGGGCAATTTCAGGATGGGTCTGGATGAGTATGGTTCGAATATGATGCACCCGGCTATTGGGGCTCAGAAACGATCGCTGGAGCATGTAGGAGGCGCTCTAGGTATCCCCCCGTCTCCGAAAAAACAGTTTGTGGAAGTTGATGATGGTGCTGATCAGGTGAAGG